ATGAATCTGCATCGAAAACGTTTGATTGAAGAAAAAAAAGGGAGGGGAAATATATGGATGTAAGGGGAAAGAGGGAGCGTTTTGAGAAAGAAATTGATTTTCCGGGAATGGTTTCGCTTTTTTGACGGGGATGCCGAAAATATCTTCTTAACTCGTGGTTTAAACGCCCATGTAACGATTTGAGGACCCAGGGAAGGTTCTCGATCTTCTTTTGGAGATATTTTGGAGCACGGCAGTTAAATGACAAAGATTAAGATATTATTTACGAAAATGCCATTCTATGGGAATAATGCATAAAAAATAGAAGATAAACTTCCATCTTTACCCACATCATGAACATACAAAAATAATATTATTAACAATTTTGTAAGATCAAATAAATATTTTTTTTCTGAGATTTAAAACATCAAAATCTTATGAATACAAATGCAAAAATTTAAATGTTAGATGTAAATAAAAAAATGGAGCGTCCCTCTACCTATTGAAGTTCACATGTTGAATTATAATAATTCAAAAAGAGCTCCACTGGGTTCAATTGCTTTCGACCTCTACCTAGATTTGATAGGTGTTGATATGGATAAGAAAGTTCACATGTTAAATTATAATAATTCAAAAAGAGCTGCACGGGGTTCAATTGCTTTTGATGATTATCAACGTCCCTCTACCTAGATTTGATAGGTGTTGATATGGATAACCCACCAAACGAGACCATTAATGTTAACCTCTGTTGTGGCAGGGTTCAATTGCTTTTGATGACACCCAAAAATAAAGGGAAGCACGTCGTTGGCATGTGAACCTGTGTTGTCATAGGAAGTGCCTCCATAGGAGTTGAATATGGGGATATAACCTAGGTTGATTACATCATCATCACTTATTTTAGAAAGTTATCAACTAAACTTAGTATTTTTTATGCCCTCGTCTTATCCACGGAAATGATGGAATCCCATATCGAAGCCTTGCTAGATACTTAGATATGTTTGACTCAACTAATGATAAGCTGCCCTCTTCTTATCCAAGGAAATGATGGAATCCCATATCGAAGCCTTGTTAGATACTTAGATATGTTTGACTCAACTAATGATAAGCTCATAAAAAAAAGTGAGTTATTTCAAGAAAGCTTTTGAACTTACATTTGATAATAGGGGTTTGCTATTAAGAACTACAATACATAATCATCCATTATTTATTTCAATCAATGTTGACTTGATTTCACTCTCTGAATTCTGTTGAGTGGAACTTTCGTTATATATCTGCACTCTTTTAGGTAGAGGATTTAAAGAGCAAATCCAAGTTGCACATCATAAATATAGAGACATCCTTCAACAATTGCGAGTGTGACTTTGGTTATATATCTGCACTCTTTTAGATAGAGGATTTGAAGAGCAAATCCAAGTTGCACATCATAAATGTAGAGACATCCTTTAACAATTTACTTGGCAGACACTGAACCCATCACCATTGTGCTATCCCATCTTTACTTTATTAGTGTATCGAGTATAAATGTGATGATATCTAGTATTGCATCAAGGGGGGGCCTTCATCTTTTCCTTACTCATAAAGTCAGGATTGAGGAGAATGTAGTGTATTATTTGCTCATAAGACTTAACCGCCTTCTCCAGAGATCCATATAGTACTTTATGTAGCCAAGAAAAGACTAATGATCAAAAGAAGATTGAAGTCCAAAAAGAAAATTAAAAGGAAGATTAAAATGGGAAAAGAAGAGAAAGAAAAGCAAAAAAAAAGAGAGAAAAGAGAATTAAAATCATAGGAAGAAGAAAATGAAAACAAAAAAAGTAAACCAAAGTGATGACTCTGACTATGATATTGTAGTTATAATGTCATTCACCTATCCTTTTCAACAAGGTGGTTGAATGGTCCATATAGTATGATGATGAACTAAATTTAGCACAACTTTGCCTTTCCATAGGCTACTAACGGGGCTTTATAGATTGAATTGGCATCCGGCTTGAAGAGTAAGTTATTTACGATTGACACCTTCATTCAGGCTACTACAGTCAAGTCTAAGTTCACTTAATCTCAAGAGGTGTGCAGTGACATGTATAGGGTCCAAGATAAGAAATAGGATGTTTCTGAGTTATATACTTTTGAGATGTTGAATTAGTGTAGCTCTAATTACTATTTGCCAACATAATTGTGTGTATAGTACTTAAGGGATTTCCACTACATGACAATCATTAATAGAGTCAAATGTGTCTTTTATATTTTACATCCATGGGTTCTATGTCTAATGTAAAACTCAAGGATTACCCTTCTAATAAATTAATAGAACTATGTTTTTACTAGTATTCTCTATGTGCTCAAAACTTTGATTGCATGTGGTTAGTTGTCATCCACTTGATCTGAAGGTAAAACATAAAACCTAAAAGAATTAAGGGATAATCAATAAAAGAAAGAAGAGCAAATTTAGGTGTTGTATTTGTATTTTTAGACAAGTGAAGTATAAGAACTATTATCTAATGATCGCCCATAGTTTAGTGTTCTCTAGTTTATGCTTTTGATCATTTATGCTTTGAACTATTAGATGACATAGAAAAACTTAAAGTTATGAGTACGTACAACCACTAAGAGGAAGAAATTAAATCCACAGTGCTCAAATTGGAAGAAATCAATTTAGGCACCGATGAAGAATCACATCAATATCGGTAAGTTTTTCATTAAGTGAGGATGATGTCGATAGCTTGGTTAGCCTACTTGTAGATTTTAAGGATTAATTTTCATTAACTTATGATAAAATTCTAGGTTTATCACCTATCATAGCAATCATGAGCTTAGCATTTAACCTAAATTACTTTCTGCTAAACAAGCTCATCAAGAAATGCAATTAGAGGTTAAACAAAAATTCATAATCAAGATCAAAAAAATGATTGATGTCAACCTTATTAGGATGATAAATATCTAACTTGATTAGCTACATAATTACTATTAATAAAGTTCAATTTTGCATATGATCTGAAGAAGGCATGCCCCAATGATGAGTCCCACTGTCTATAACTGAACTCATGGTAGAAATTGTCTTATTTCATGTGCTTTTCTCTTATGTGGGTGTCCATTTAGTTACAACAAAATCTAGGGGGGCATTGAGGATGAAATTTTCATGGCATTAGGAGCCTCGATGAGAGTCTATTGTTTATTGTCATGCTTTTTGTCCTAAAATTATTGGTGCCACTAACCAACGTGTCTTGTCCTAAATCATGAATGAGCTTATCCGTCTTAAATTCGAGTGTTATATTGATTATTTGGATATCAACTTGAATGTCATTTCTAGTGGTGGTTACTACTATTTTTGCTAAATCACTCATACGGTACATGGTTGTATTAGATGAGTCCGTTGTAGCCTATTTTTGCTTAAGCTTTCGAGTTTCAGTTGACACGATCATGACGACTCTGCATACCTTTGTTTGTTGCAAGCCAATGGGGCTGCCAGGATAGTATAAGTTGTCCTCTTCACTTGGAGCCAGTGAAGGGGTTCTTCTAGCATTGGCATTGATCTTTTTGTCCTAAAAATATTGGTGCCACTAACCAGCGTGTCTTGTCTTAAATCATCAATGAGCTTATCCGTCTTAAATTGGAGTGTTATACTGATTATTTGGATATCAACTTGAATGTCATTTCTAGTGGTGGTTACTACTATTTTTGCTAAATCGCTCATACGGTACATGGTTGTATTAGATGAGTCCATTGTAGCCTATTTTTGCTTAAGCTTTCGAGTTTTAGTTGACACGATCATGACGACTCAGCATACCTTAGTTTGCTGCAAGCCAATGGGGTTGAACCCATGCTGCCAGGATAGTATAAGTTGTCCTCTTCACTTTGAGCCAGTGAAGGGGTTCTTCTAGCATTGGCATTGAGTTTGTTGCTTTGGCCCAAAGGAGATGTCTTTACCATTGCTTAAGCAAGAGTTCCTCTAATTAATTCCATCATTTGTTTAATTTTGTTGATCTATCGTGTGACAAAATTCATAATGTAGTCCATGTTGCTCACGACTTCTCTATGATTCGGTTCTTCTCCTTGGGCGACTACTGTTATTGCTTATGACATGATCGATGCTTACTACATCTTTTTAGAGCGTTGAATCCCTTTTTACTCTTAAATCACACCAATGGAATGGAGTGCATAGAAGAAAAGAAAACAATAGGAGGGAGACAAGATGCTTAGCAATTGAGTAGATGAGCAAGATTTTGTACTCGGGAACCTCGACACTTGGCTTTCAGGCAGTCTTTCGACCTTTGCCTAACCATTTGGCACTCCAAATTTGTCTCATTCATTGTCCACTCTTGGATTAATCCCTTCAAAAAGTTTGTGTGGATGAGAAAGGTTAAATGTTATTCATGTCTTCTTGATCCACATAGCTGTTTTTGTTATACAATAGATATATATTAAAAAGTCAAAGTTAGAATATTATCACAGACTAACACTTCTCAAATCACCTGCACGACTTTAGCGCTCTTTCAATATATTTTTAAAATTACGTAAAAATTTTTAGAATTTTTTAGAATATTCTCAATATTTTTATTTTTTTTTTCTAAAATATCATGAAATCTTTTAGAGTCTATTCAATTAATCACTTCGTTCTTATTTTCTCTAAAATTTTTATTTCTCATAATTATCTTATCAATTGCTCTCGTACACGACGGAATATAAAAATATATTTCAAATCTGCACAGAGTAATTAGAGAAAAAATTCTGACAACTAGACCGTGTATCAGAAACTGATCCTTCGTTGCATTACAATTCTTCAATAAATAAACCGACTGCTAAAAACAAAAGCAGCCGAATCATAAAAAAACAATCAATTGGCAGCTACTCGACACATCTCCATTTACGCTGGCACCAAACACGCCCATCATACACACACCGCAAGGTTCCAAACGCATCGCCAGCTCACCGCCACAACACCCACCACAACTTTCGGTGACAAAAGTCGGATTGATCACCTACCGGCCACTACGCCACAAGTACCACATGCCTCCGTCCAAGAGCGTTTTTAACGGTTATACCCCGCAATTAATGCCGCTTTCTCTGCCGGAAAGCCAGTTTCCCCTTTCCAAAAGCTCACCGGTTAAGCTCCACAATTAATGCCTTCACAGATCACAACGAAGAAAATACATTTGAAAAGATTCAGGATATTTAATTCGAATCACCTCCTTCCCAAAAATTTCTCCTGTCAATTTCCATTACTATTATCATTCCCTTATTGTCCGTTACAATAAAAATAAAAGAAAAAGAAAACATAAACGCGAAGATTGAAGAAAAGGGAGATGGCGATGGGCCAGAGATTTACACCAAGAATTCGGTTAATTATGCGCATATGAATCCCTCAGAAGACAAACCAAAACAGGAAGAAGAGGTGAATGGAGGGAAGAGCCTTGATCCAGTAGCTGCAGGAGGGATGGGAGTTCGCTGGAGGCGGTGGGCCGTGATAGTAGAAGGGGAAGTACGGCAGAATGGGGTTCGGCGGTGGAGGAGTCGGATACGAATTTGCAGAGCCGCCGCCAGTGTTTGGTGGCGGGTAGTAGTAGGTGTTGCCGCCTCCGGAACCGCCGGG